TATGACACTTATTGAATACCGATGTGGTGTACTCAGCCCTTAGCCCCCCTCCAGGTTCCCGCTTATTGTACATATTTCAAGGTGAGGTATGATACGTGGCATGCGGTCAGGTCTAGGATGACTCTCTTTCCGAGGTATTATGAAGCACCATTTTTATTTCGTGGTAGCTATCATGTATATTCTTATTTTCTTTTGTTGGAATTACTCCAAGTGTTGGTTCTGTTCTTTGGTATAGAGGCTCCATAGATAGTTGTGTTGGATTATAAAAAATAGGATTGTGGATGACATGCATAAATGAATAATCATTTAATTTGATTATATCATTTTTATGAAAAGTTTCATGTATGATTTTGGAAATGAAAAATATGTTGTGACTTGATTTGAAAATGTATAAGATTCTCAATTGGCTTCCGCAATTATACTTGGTCTTGACATATGGGTTGGTTCACTTGGGTCGAGTAGTGTGCCGGGTGCCGGTCACGTGAATTAGGGTCGTGACAAACACGACCTTTGTGGGTCCATACAGTGCCAACACATAGCCTAAACATAATTTCTAACATGATTTATAGTTTAATTTTTTTTATAACACATGGAAAATATACAAATAACAACAGATTATTCAACTATATAGTTCCATGAAATTGACCAAGTTACAATCCTACGGTGCACGCCCATACGCCCGTCACCTAGCATGTGCGTTACCTTAAAACTAATCACATGACACATAATACGGGATTTCATACCCTCATAACCAAATTTAGAACTGTTACTTACCTCAATCCGCACAAATCCCTACTCCAACACGTCCTTGCCTCGTGAATTGGCCTCCAAATACCCCGAATCTAGCCACAAACAGTTTGATACAATAAACACGAGCTAAATGAATCAATTTCACAAGAAAATACTAAGTTATTAATCAAAAGTCAAAAGTCCCACTCAAAAGCCGACCACCAGGCCCACGTCTCGAAATCCAATAAAAGTCATAAAATCTGAAAGCCCATTAAACCACGAGTCCAACCATACCAGTTTTACTAAAATCCGATACCAAATCGTCACTAAAATCCCCAAATTAAACTCTCCAAATTCCTAACCTCAAACTCCCAAATTACATCTCAAAATCACACAATCTAGGCAGAAAAATCAATGGGGAAGAATAATTATTGAATGAATTAAACCACAAGTGACTTACCTCAAGAATCTCCTCGAAATCCCTCTCACAAATCGCCTAAGACCGAGCTTAAAATATCCGAATTGAAGAAAATACCGGAAACCCTCGAATTTAAACACTACCCGGGCTTTCCGCACCTGCGACAACTTACCCGCACCTACGGCTTCGCAGGTGCAACCAAACCATTTTCTCCTGTGATAGACTTCACGCCTGCGGACACGCATCTGCGAGCACACTGCTGCTTCTGCGGAGCTAACTCCTTTCCCATTTCCGCTTCTGCGTTCAATACTTTGCACCTGCGACCTCGCAAGTGTGGGCAAGCTCGTCGCACCTGCGAGCACTGCCTAGTTTAACTCCTGGTCTCTTCTACGATGGCTGGTGTGCATATACGGCGTCGCACTTGCGATCAAAACCCTCGCAGATGCGATTGCATCAAACCTGGTGCTTCATCAATCCTTCAAACTCCAATTACGATCCGTTAACCATCCGAACTCCACTCGAGGCCCCCGGGACCTTAACCAATTATACCAACAAGTCCTAAAATACGATACGAACTTAATCGATCCCTCAAATCACATCAAACAACATCAAAAACACAAATCGTACCCTAATTCAAGCCTAATGAAAACTAAGGAATTCCAACTTCTATAAACGATGCCGAAACGTATCAAATCACGTCCGATTGACCTCCAATTTTGCACACAAGTCATAAATGACATAACAGACATGTGAAAATTTTCAGAACTAGATTCTGACCCCGATATCAATAAAGTCAACTCTCTGTCAAACTTCCAAACCTTCCATTTCCAATTTCTGCCATTTCAAGCCAAAATCAACTACGGACTTCAAAATAATTATTCGGACACACTCCTAAGTCCAAAATTATCATACAGAGCTATTGGAATCATTAAAACTCTATTCCGAGGTCGTTTACACATAAGTCAATATCCGATCAACTATTTCAACTTAAGCTTTAAGTCTTGGAACTAAGTGTCCCAGTTCATTCCGAAACTTCCCCGACAAATTACATAATCACAATTGAGCATAAAATATTCAGTAAATGGAGAAACGGGGCTGTAATACTCAAAATGACCGATCGGGTCGTTACACGTTTAACTTATTTTTTGTGAAGTAAAAGAGATCTTGCTTATATTACTATACATGTGTATTTTAAAATATAAGTAATATAATTATAAATAGTATCCATTTAATCGAATTAGAAAAAAAATACTAATAAAGAAAGATTTCTCCCTAGAATTTAACTTTCACAAACATGAGAATGAAAGATAATTTATTTAAAAGCAGTTTCTAGATTCGTGCTTTGCAATTATAATAAATACTGATTGTCTAGGATCACTATTTATTAGGTTGAGCTTACATGTTTTCCTTTAAATTTTACGTAACTCATTATATACATATTTTAATATTGTTTATACTATTTTAAAATATTTTTACTGATTAGCATAGGATTCACGTGCAACGCACGTGTTCAAAAATTACTTAAAGATCTAAAATCACAAACTATCCCATAATTGGAAAAAAAAACTTATACAAGGGAAAAGAAGGACAGAGAAATTATTAAATAACTAAATTATCCAGGAAAATTATAGATCTATGATTACAATCTGTACTTTGTTGTAATAGTAAAAATAAACAAACTCGGAAGCTACAAGGTACTAATATTGCATACGCAATAAGAACAAAAAGGAAAGGAGAGAAGTAGGAAAATAAGACAATCTATAACGGAAGGACTCACAATGTAGAAGGAAGAAATGGAAGAGCAAGAGTCTTCCTTTTTTAAAGTACTAATTTTAGGGTACGCGTGTTACACGTATCCTTTTTAGTGATTATAATTTTTTAATATATTATTATTACTATTATTATTATTTTATTTAAGATATCAAATAAAAATAAAAATAAATAATTCAAGTTTCTAAAAATTATGAAGGTTATTTTTATTTTTTTTAAAAAGATTGGGTAAAATCCACCGAGGTGAGTAGCCTTAACCGGATGTGTCTGATAACAGGCATAGTCTGAAGACCGTTCCCGTCCTTGTCCGGGGAGATGCCAACCGTCTCTCCTTTCTAAACTCAACAAAGTGCTAAATATTAAAAAAATATTTGAATGACAAATTATCTAATGAGAATTTTATTTTAAAATCTCAATTACACCCAATTTATATTGAACAACTAATTACTTGATCACGCAGACAGAGGAAACAAAAGGAAAAAGCTTATCTCTTTGAATAAATAACGGTTCATGTACCCCTATTAATATAACTAGAGAAAACAAAAGTCTCTACTACAATTATTTGCCACCATTTCTTGAACTCTACTATAGAACCCCAAAAGTTTTCTTTCAATTTCTGGTTACGAGGTTCATCTGATGTTTTATAATAGAACGCGGAGGAGTGAAAATACAAACCAAGTTCTGAGTTTGACAAAAATGAGAAGCTTATTAATAAATTAGTGTGCAATAGGACGTCATCTATCTATAATCTGAGGACATTTCAAAGGATAGGTAATTTAAGCATTGTTGTTTGTGGATCATTCTTCTTTCCCATTTCTTAGGTATTTATCTTGTAAAAGAATGTCTGAATTACTTTGTTAATACGATTACAAAATGTTTGGCAGTACGTTGTATTATAATGCTGAATTTTTTACATTATTGCACTTTTCATGCTTATTAATTATTTTTTTCTCAATACTCTATAGCAAGTCCTCTAGATAGTCACTGCATGCAATCCCTTGACAAGAATTCCATCTGCATAGGATCTCTGATATTGGTATGGTTTGAAACTTTGAATTAAGTCACTAATAAAATTTAAAGAGTTCTCTAGGAATTAAGATGGGATAAAAGGTTTGCTTTAACGGTTATGCAAGGTGCTTACTTTTTCTAAATTAGTTGTTATGCGCGGTTTCTGTTTTCTTATTGTTGCGTTAGTGGTGCTTCGTCTCCTTTTTTTTTTTTGTGTGTGTGTGTGTGTGTTTATGAATTGCTTGTTTGTTTTAGTTTGTAAGAAGTTATTACATGTTATAGAAAGGAGAGATGAGGTCTCCAGTTTGAGGATGTTGTGATCAATGCCGGTAGCAGAGAAGGTGGTGGTGATTGTGTGCACTTAGTCTTAGTCAAACATCTTTTGCGCTGAAGATTTGGTAACGTCGCCTGTAATATACAGACGATTCCATTAAATTTCTAATACTTCATCTTCGGAAATTTAAAACACGTTGGACCAACACATTGAGTACCAAGTGTACTACTCGAATGTAGTAGGGGGCATGCATTGATCATGAGTTTGTTTCTTTTCGATTAGCATTCTTTTCTTAATCATATATAAATAAATGTCCAACTTGATTCGAACCATAAGAGGGAACATGACAAAACACGTCAAAGAAGGATTCAGGGGTGCGCATCTGTCATATGCAAAGATCATATATTAAACAATTGCATTCGTTTTCTTCCCATCCGTACAGGTGAGCAAATATTCGGCTGATTTTCTCCTTTAATTTGTTTCGTTGAATATATCTTTCTCTAACACAAAAATGGAGGCATATGAAGGAGGCCGGTTGAGCTCAAATAATGAAAAACATCACAAGGGTATAAGTGGAAAGGAAGAGTTCCGGAACTGGCTACTAAGAAACGCTTTGAGAAAAACAAAAAGAAGCAAAACAAAAACAAGAAAAGAAGGGTTATTGAAGAATTAGCGGAGTGTGTTGGGGATAACAAAGAGAAAGATGGGCGGGGAGTTTGCGGGGAGCATCAATATCTGTTAACAACATCACTAGATAACATTAGCTATAACGTGTTGGATTGGGAATCTGTCATGATGAACATGGCAGAAGAAGTGAATTTCGTGATCAAAACTATGGTGCAACTGCTAGGGGTTAATAAAGAGGTGGCTCTTCTGCAGTTTGAACTACTATTGAAGAGCTTGCATATCCGCAAAGATTACATATTGCTTATTCTCAAGGCTTTGAAGAAGGTACGATCGAATGGTCCTTTCTTTAAGTCAGAGGAATGTTATCACATTATAATAATTATGTGTTTATCAGTATGTGAAATATTACAATGTATCATGGAAACTTTGAAAGTGAACCATTCTCTTTTGTATGATTGTGCTGATTAGTTATAACAACACTTTGATCTTTTTCTTCTGTTGGATGACTTGTATTATCTTTATATGCACTAATTGAACTTGTTTTTTAGGAGTATGTTTCTGAAGAGGAAGAATATGAAGTATTGAAGAAGATTTGGGATGTGAAGATGGAGCATGTGCAACTTATTAGGGATGAGCATTTTAATTTGATTAAGGTAACCTTCAAGTTTTGTATGTCATAATAATACAAATTAAGTTACAAGACTTACTGGTTTGCTTTGTGGATCAGACGGGAGAAGAAAAAGGAAATAAGAAGCAGAAAATGGCAGAGAAAGCAGAAGATGAGGAAAACAACAATTTTGATGGTAAGCAGTTGGTTCCGTGCATTGAAAAATTGCAAGATATACAAGACAAGCTCGAGAAGATTAATGAAGAAGCAAGGGATGAAGTGTTGAAAATAGCACAAAAGTTGAGTCAGATCCGCAAGCCAGTGTATGAGAAGCGAAATCATATTATTAAAAGTATTCCTGACTTCTGGTTGACGGCATTCCTGAGACATCCTATTCTTTCTGAACTTGTAAGTACAGAAGAGGACCATAAGATTTTCGAGTTTTTATGTTCTATCGAAGTGGAAGACACTGAAGATTTTAAATCGGGTTATACCATCACCTTCTACTTCAGTCCAAATCCCTTTTTTGAAAATACAATGCTGTCGAAGACTTATACCTTCCTTGAAGATGGACGACCTACAAAAGTTACTGCTTCCACAGTACAATGGAAAGAAGGAAATGGAGTTGTTCCCCATGCTGAGGAAGGCTTCTTTAGGTGGTTCAGTAGCGAAGTCGATCAGAAGTATAATGAAGTTGCTGCGATAATCAAGGATGAGCTATGGCCGAACCCTCTAAATTATTTTAATGAAGCTGATGAAGAAAAAGATTTTCATGAGGCAGACAAAGGTGGTGATAAGATAGTGAACGACAGTGAAGATGATGGCAATGAGGAGGCCGATGAAGCTGATGAAGAGGATCTTGAGGCTGCAGGCGGAAGTGGCAATGAGGTAGTAAAGGACAATGAAGATTACGATGAGGAGGCTGATGAAGAGGATCTTGAGGCTGCAGACGAAGCTGGTGATGAGGGAACGTAGAGTGAAGGTTCTCATGATGACTATGATCTAGGAGGATGATAATGAAGATATGATGAAGCCGAATTTACTCTTATACAGCCACTCCTCTTTCTGAGATCGATCCCGTCAAATGTTCTCTTCAATAGGTCTGTTTGGTGTCTCTGATGAGGCTTTAGATGTTTGGAAAAGAACGTACAGAACATTATTGATAGCTAAATCTACATCCTCTTTTGAACCTGCTTGTTTTATCAAGTTTGAGCTTTTGGTTCAAAAAAGCATATTGTCGAATTGAAAATATTTCTCATACCATAATTCAGGCTGTGATGCATGGTCACACAGCAAAGTTATAACACCAGATTTAAGAGAGTATGTATCAGCTGCTTTTTGAGGATATATGGTCATCAGCTATGTAGAAAACAAACCTTTAGTTGAATATTGAGTCGGAACGAATTTATAGACAACAATAATGAAATAATATTTCCTGTATGAAGGTGGATCATCACTAAATCGCAGCAAATGTTAGACTGAGTGAATTCTTCTCACTGAAGAAGCCGAATAATAAGTTGTAATCACAATTTCTAAATACCAATTGCATGATAAGCGAGATCACCAAACTTCTCAATCAACTCGCCAATACAAGCCCTAACCCTGAGATATTTCATCCCACGTTATTCCTAATAAGCACATTAACCGTGATCAGATATGACGTGACATGACATAAAGATTAAGAAAAACAACAGTGACAGATTTACGGAGCACATGCTCCATCTAAATTGCTCAAGACAAATAAGGAGAAACACCGAAAGTCAGCTCCAGAAATCATTTCTATTGATTACAAAAGAGCAGATAGGCGAATTGCACACTTGGCACCTTCCCTCCTCCTTAATCCGAGCTTGGGACCGGCTGATTTGACAGGTGGAGAAACGATAGTTGATTTATTTTTATTTTTATTTTTATTTCTTGCAGTTAAAGAAACTAGACAAAATAACAATGGAACTAGAAGAAACTAGACTAGCCCAAAACCGCTAAGCAACTTCATATATTATATCCCATTCTGTATTAGTCAAAAAACTTTCAGCTGTATTATATGTCCAAGTGAATTTGATTATAGATTAAATGAAATCCCATTTATCATTACCTCTTTCTATTTTCATATGTTCTGCTTATTATTCTTTTTGAATAGAGCAAAGTGTTGTATATCACTTCGAACCTATTTGTAAAAACCATCACATATATTCATATGATATAAAGTTAAATTTCATGCTATCAGGTGAAGTTGAACTTGTTAGTTAAATCAACAATGAGGAGAAGAGGGAAGTTTTTTCTGAACATTTCTCTCTGCAATTCAGTAAATGAACTAATTTTTCGCAGGCAACTCAGACAGCCAATCTGCTAAACTTGTGGCACTAGATTCCTCTGTCACTTTTCCACAATACAGAAGCAAAAAGGGGAAAATAAAAGAAGACAGTAGATTAATGGTTTAAGGTATTTATGCCTATAATCACCTCATCATTGACAACCAATGCTCTTAGAACCCGATAGAGCAGCACAAGAAACCCAATAGCAGAAAAAAAAAGACAAAAGAAAACAAAAATTGAAAAACCCAAACAAGTAGGAGAAATATCTGGCCATCATTCCTGAGAAGCTTTCACAGCATCAGTCATCAAGTTCACTTGTTCCTCCATCAGGGTTATCTCATTCAATTGGTGTTCAGCCTTAGCAATCTTCACGGAATGCGATTTCTTCAATACTTCATGTCTTTGTTCTTTGCTAATCAACCCCGGGTTCCTTCTAAACCAATCTTCTAAATCAGCTGCACTCCCTCCGTGTAAAACCAAACTCGAACCTGAACTACCACCACACAAACTGTTTTTTTCTTTTGCAACAATCAGTTTACCAGCTTTCGGCAGATCGTCATCAACCTTGGCTGCTCTCTTTTCTTTGTCAACTATGTTATCACCCCAAATTGTTTGTGAGAGTTCGAACAACTTCTCCTCGTGAGGCTTCGCAACGCTCCTTTTGCCAATATTATTCATATATTTTCTTTTAATTCTCCTAATTTTTTCTTTCAGTTGAGTTATGTTCACTTCGGCTTGCAATTTGTCCTTGATAAAAGTATAAAAAACATCATAATTTGCTGCGGGGCTGGCATTCTTTTTGGATTCATACTCGATCATTCTTTCGAGGATAACTAGTTCGTCTTCCTCGCTCCATAACCTTTGAAAGCTCTTTGCATCCACATTAGCGCCCTTCTTTGCTGACTTTTCCGTTGTCCGTTTCTTTCTATTGTTGGAATGAGAAGGAAGTGTCCAGTCTTTGTCAGATTCTTCAAGGGTATCATCACGGTGATTTTTGGTTAAGTTTAGGGAAGCCATTTGATAAAAGGAGAGAGGAAGCAGTGCTTTTTGAACTGTTTTGATTGGAATCTTTTGTTTTTATTTTCAAGTTGAATACCAATACTAAAGCATCTGATGAAACTAATCGACAGTAAAACTTCCCTCGGTTATGGTTCATGCTAAAAAAAATTCAGCTTCCCGAGGTTCGTTGTTTAAAGTTCCTATACATGTATTTATCTAAATTTTAAGATTTTTATAAAAGAGTTTTTAGGTTCATGAATTATAATCTCTACTCTCTAGTTTAAAAGGACTTTTATAGGTCTGTTATTGGGAAAAATCAATTACCGTGTATTTCTCAAAAACCTTTCAAAGTCAATATTTAAAATTTTCATATTTGATCTTCTCTTCTTTTTATATTTTTATATTCCCAAGCTTAACTTTTCAAATTCTATATGATTTTATAAATTCTTGAAGTCCCCTTCCGATTCTCTCTTATATGTCTCCTTTTTTATTTAAAATATTTAATAGTATTATAGAAACACAAATCATAAGTGTAACGATCTAACCGGTCGTTTTGAGTGTTGTAGTCCCGTTCCCCCATTTATTTCTTATTTTAAGCTCAATTGTCATTATGTGACTTACCGGGGTAGTTGGTTCCGATCCGGGGATGTTTCAGGATGAGTTGAGACACTTAGTCTCAATGTTGAAAGCTTAAGTTGAAAAGGTTGACCGGATGTTGATTTATGTGTAAAAAGCTTCGGAATGGAGTTTTGATGGTTCCGATAGCTCCGTTGGGTGATTTCGGATTTAGGAGTGTGTCCGAATAGTGATTTGGAGGTCCGTAGTTGATTTAGGCTTGTAATGGCGAAAGTTGGAAATTGAGAAGTTTGACCAAGAGTTGACTTTGTGCTTACCAGACTCGGATTTTGGTTTCGGGAGTTGGAGTAGGACCGTTGTGTCATTTATGACTTGTGTGCAAAATTTGAGGTCAATCGGACTTAATTTGATAGGTTTTGTCATCGATTGTAGAAGTTGGAATTTTCTAGTTTTTATTAGGCTTGAATTGAGGTGCGATTCGTATTTTTGATGTTGTTTGATGTGATTTGAGGCCTCGACTAAGTTAGTATCGTATTTTAGGACTTGTTGGTATATTTGGTTGAGGTTCCGGGTGCCTCGGGTAGATTTCGGATCGTTATCGGAATGGAATTTGATTTGGAGAAATGGCTGAAGTTTTCTGGTGTCCCTGTCTGGTTTCCTTGTATGCGGTCGCGTAGGCTATTTTTGGGTAGTGGAGGTTTTGTTCTATGCGATCGCAAGTCTTGGACTGCGATCGCGTAAGCTGGAGGAAGCAGTGCATCGCGAACCCGTGGGCTAAGCTGCGTTCGCGAAGAGGAAGTGAGGCAACTGGGTTCTGCGTGGTTGTTATTCGCGAACGCGAAGAAGTGTTTGCGATCGTGTAGTTCTGTGATGGTTATTCATCGCGTTCGCTTGGATATTTATGTGATCGCGTAAGGTTAATTTGTTGGGCAGCATAGTTTTGCTTCGCGATCGTGAAGCATTTTCCGCGATCGCGATTAAGGACATCTGGGCAGAACTTAAATATTTCAAAAATGAGGGTTTGAGTCATTTTACATAATTTGGTTTTGGGAGCTCGAATTGAGGCGACTCTTAGAGAGATTTTCAAGGGAGTGATTGGGGTAAGTGATTCTTACTTGGTTTTGGTTAAATTACATGAATATATCTTTGATTTCATCATTTAATTAGTGATTTGGGGTGGAAAATTTGGGGAAAATGGAGAAAACTTCTTAGGCCGAATTTTAGAGATTTGAGCGAGATTTTGGTATCGGATTTGAGTAATTTTGATGTGGTTGCACTCGTGGTTGAATGAGTATTCGGATTTTATAACTTTTATCGGATTCCGAGACGTGGGCCCAGGAGTTGACTTTTGATTTAGAATGTAGTATTTTTGTATGGAATTGATTCTTATAGCTTGAGTTGATCGTATCGAATTGTTTGTGGCTAGATTCAAGGCATTCGGAGGCCGTTTCGCGAGGCAACGACTTGTTGGAGTAGAGTTTGGCACGACTTGAGGCAAGTAATACTTCTAAACTTGGTTTTGAGGGTATGAAACCTCGAATTATGTGTTATGTTATTGATGTTGAGGTGACGGGCGTGTGGGCGTATACCGTAGTAATTGTGATTTAGTCGATTCCAAGCACTTGAGCTGTGATTTATACTAGAAATCATGTTTAGGCTATATACTAGTACTATTGGGACCTATAGTGATCGTTCCTTGCTGTTGAGTTATTTGCTTAATTGCAGTTATGTACTCAGTTGCATTCTTCATTATATATCATATCTCAGTCTCTGTTATCGTCCATTGTCACATCTCGTATCATTGATTTGGGTTGCTTAGCATGAGTGTTGTGAGCCCGAGAGACTGGAGAGATTGATGACTAAGTGAGCCTGAGGACCTGTTGTGAGTGATATTTATGGGATCGGGCTGCACACCGCAACATGCTTTATTGATTAATGCCAGGATTTGGTTTTTTATAACGCTTGGGCTGGATCTGACCCTCCGGAGCCTGCACACCCACAGTGAGTGCAATTGCTATTGATTCATTTGCATTGGGTTAGATCTGCCTTGAATTTATTTGCATTGGGCCGGATCTGCCCTGAATTTATTTACATTGGGTTGGATTTGCCCTGGATTTATTTGCATTTGGGATGGATCTGCCCTGTACAATGGTGAGTGATTGAGTGTGATGAGTGAAAATTAAGACAGTCAGGTTGAGTACTCCGAGAGTGTGAGTATGCGAGGCTTTTGTTGTGTTGCATATTGCCAGGTAGATATAGAGATGTCATATTCCTCATATCATTCATACTTGACATATTTTATATGTTTCGACTTTAATTGTTAAACCTGGAAGCATGCCTAAATTCTTGTACCGTTACTTGCAGATTGTGAATTTCTGAGATATTACTGTCATATTTTTCGTAAATATTCGTAATGTTAAGTCTGTATGTGGGTGGTAATGATTGAGATCGTCACTAATTTCAGTCCAAAGGTTAGATTTGTTACTTATTGAGTTGGTTGTACTCACGCTACACCCTACACTTCGTGTGCAAATCCATGTGTTTTCGGGCATGGTGGTTGCTGATTCTCAGAGTTCAGTCATTTGGAGATAATCAAGGTAGCTGCCCTGGCGTCCGCAGACCTTGACTCTCCTCTCCCTATCCTTCAGTTTTAGTTATTCAATTTCAGTTTTTCTTAGTCAGTGTTCCAAACTTTGTATTTGTATAGATGCTCATGTACTCGGTGACACCTTGGTTTTGGGAAACTTCTATATTGAGTTATGACGTTTTATCCAGTTTTATGAGATTTTCACTTATTTAAACATGTTTTAGTGTATTTTAAATTTGGAAGTGTTGGTATGTCTGAGTTGCCGGCTTGCGTAGTATCATGATAGGCGCCATCACGACAGGTTGAGTTTTGGGTCATGACAATAAGTGTGTGATAGGGGCTAACTCCAATCATTACTCTATTTTTTACTCCAAAAAAAATATTTCTTTTTATATTCTTCTCTCTTCTATATTATATTATTATCCTTTATTTAAATTTTATTTTCTTATTTCCATTAAACAAATCCTATCTTTTTTATCTTTTTTATATATTCATCCCATATAATTCATATTTCTTTCTTATATAACCATTTAAAATAAAATTATTTTATACCATAAATTTTTAAATAATATACTTTATACTCAAATATTATAGATTATACATATTAATGGATAATTCAAATAAAAGTGAAATAATTGAGATACAAGATAATTCAATACATTAGTTTGAATACTACTTAAATATTCAACTTACAATTTCCACAGCCACAACCACAACAATCCTCTGTCCCATTCACTCAATTCTTTAATGATTTTGGTGTATCTGAAAATGACTTATCTCCCTACAAAATTATTATGTTATTTAATGTAGCTTCAATTTTTATGTATTTCCAATTTATATGTATTTTTATTTAATGTATTTTTAATTTTCACTTTTCAATTTTAGAAACATCTTCTATTTTATATTTGCACCATTTATTTTTGTATAGGTTATATATTTTTGTATACAATTATAACTTATAACAGCATTAACTTACAATTTTACATAAAAATAATATATGTACGAAAATTAATTTATCAAAATTATACACCAAAATTAAGATGTAAAATTAATATTATAAAGATATTACATAAACATAATTAGGTATATATTATTTGATAAACTAAAAGAGTTAAAAAATAAAAATAAAAATAAAATAATAGAAAATAGTGATGAAGTGGATGAATAGTGTCACTCCAAATTCTCCCTCCAAAATGGAGGCAAATTTGCAGCTGGGCTGGAGCAAAATTCCTTCATTTTTTACTCCAAAAATGGAGTTTAAAGGTAAAAATGGAGGTGGGTTGGAAATAGCGTTAGTAATAAGTTTTAATTTCTAGACCATGCGCCATTTAGTAAAATTTAAAGCGTCAAATCATGCGTGATTGTAACGACCCGATCGGTCGTTTTGAGTATTAACGCTCTGTTCAGTGGCTTAAGGTCTCAAAAAGCTCTATATTATGTGTTATGACGTGCGTGCGTAGTCGAGTTCGGATTTCGAATGATTCGGGATTGATCTGGAAAAAGGATTCGTGTTTTAAACGCTTAAGCGGTAAGAGTTTATCGAAATTTGACTTTTGTGTAAATGACTCCGGAATAGATTTTTGACGGTTCCAATAGCTTCGTATGGTGATTTTGGACTTAGGCGTGCGTCCGAATTTGGAGGTCCGTAGGGTAATTTGAAGCATTTCGGCAAAAACTTGGAAAGTTAAAGTTTTGAAAGGTTGAGAGGTTTGACCGGGAGTTGACTTTGGTGATATCGGGGTCGGATTTTGATTCTGAGAGTTAGATTAGCTCCGTTATGTCATTTGGGACTTGCATGCAAAATTTGACATCATTCCGGGTTGATTTGATGTGTTTCGTCATGGGTTTTAGAAGTTGAAATATTCAAAATTTCATAAGTTCGATTCATGGTGCG